TATTTAATATACACCAGCACTTGTACGCATCTAGTCAAATTATGAAAAATTCTCCCTATCACAATCAGTTCAGGATCAGGAACCAAATAATTTCTATATAGAAATCTGAATATGCTATATGATTTAATTATGCCACCACAATGCACAAAGATGGGTTCCCAAAGAAGGTTGGGAAATGTGTTGGTGATCCCAACATTAGGGTGAGAAAATGAGCAGTTGAAAAAGTAATACATGGAATGAATTATTATGAGTATACCTAGATCCTCGTACAAGAAAATGTATACTTGAAGTTCAAGTGATAATGCATTTATATTGCCAAGTGCATTTGCTGACCTAAAGCTAAATGTCATATTTCAGCTGCTAATGCTCCAAATACAATAAAGTTCATAATGAACAAAGTCTATGGCATGCATGAAGCATAATAGACAAATCGGTTCCAAAGTAAAACTCCTTGAAGAAGGAGATGAGCAAATATTCAAGATGGTCATAATAAGGAGGCAAGTGCTCTAGAAGAGCACCATGACATAACACTTCATAAGACCTCATGGGAGAGGCTCAGGTACCTGAAAATAATGAGATAAAGAGATCTCAATAAGTTATGTCTTTATTGGGTAATAATGGAATCGACATAAAATGATAGTCGACGATATTGTTAATATAATGTAGCGCTCAATATTATTAATATTGATGAGGATCTTGAGCTCAAATCTGTCATGAAATTTGGATAGATAAATGATTGGCCAAAAAATATGCAATGAAAATTGACTTCACTTGAAAAATATGAAGTTGGGCGGATAGTCCCAACACCTGAAATTATAAAGCCAATGGAGGTATAAATGTGTTCTTGTGCGAAAAGTTCAAGTCGATAGATATAAAGATGACTTGGGGCACAAGAAAATTAGTAAATATCCTCCTATTGATTATATGGAGACATGTTCTCTTATGGTAGATATAGTCATTTCAGGTTTTAATTTGGCAATATATGAAAAACTTGATATGCATATAAATCATTGAAGGATTTAAATTGTCCTGTATCATTTTAAGGTTTCCAAGAAATTTATTAAATAAAACTTCAAAAATCCTTATATGGATTAAAGGCGTATGTGGTATAATCGCCTAAGTGAGTACCTGTTGAAAGAAGGATACAAGAATGATTCAATTTGTCCTTGTGTTTTTATAAAAAGATTTAGATCTGCATTTGCTATAATCACCGTGTATGTTGATGATCTAAATATCATTGGAACTCCTGGGGAGCTTCCTAAAGCAGTAGACTGTTTAAATTTGAAATGAAAGCTCTTGGAAAGATAAAATTTTGTCTTGGTCTACAAATTGAGTATTGAAAAGATTTTAAAGCGATTTTATATGAATAAAGCACATCCATTGAGTATTCTGATGGTTGTTCGATCACTTTATATGAATAAGGACCCGTTCCGACCTCAAGAAAAGAATGAAGAGCTTCTTGGTTATGAAGTACCATATCTTAGTGCAATTGGTGCAGTAATGTATCTTGCTAGCACTACAAGGCCTGACATAACTTTTTCGGTTAATGTCTTAGCAAGATATAGCTCTGCTCCTACAAGGAGACATTGGAATGGGATCAAACACATATTGCGGTATCTGAAAGGTACAACCGATATGGACTTGTTTTATGGCAATGATTGTAATCCCGATCTTGTTGGTTATGCCGATGCTGGGTATTTATCTGACACACACAAGGCTTGATCTCAAACATGCTATGTGTTTACATGTGGAGGCACTGCCATATCTCGGCAAACGACTAAGCAATCAATCGTGGCTACTTCATCTAATCATGCTGAGATAATTGCTATTCATGAAGAAAATCGAGAATATGTATGGTTGAGGTCTATAATACATCTTATTCGAGACAAATGTGGTTTGAAGTGTTACAAATTACCCACAATTTTGTATGAAGACAATACAACATGCATAGCCCAATTGAAGGGAGGATTCATAAAAGGAGTTAGGACAAAACACATTTCACCAAAGTTATTTTTCATACATGATCTTCAAAGAATGGTGATATCAATGTGCAACAAATTCATTCAAGTGGTAATATGACTGATTTGTTCACCAAATCTCTACCGATGTCAACCTTCAAGAAACTAGTGTACAAGATTGGGATGTGAATGATCAAGGATGTGAATTGATGCTATCATCAGGGGGAGTTAATACGCGTTGTACTCTTTTTCCCTTACAAGGTTTTGTCCCACTGGGTTTTCCTTGCAAGGTTTTTAACGAGGCAACGAAAATGCGTATTTCTAAACATGTGTACTCTTTTTCCTTCACTAAGATTTTTTTTCCATAGGGTTTTTTCCTAATAAGGTTTTAACGAGGCATATTATTTATGGACATCCAAAGGGGAGTGTTATGATAAATATCATATTATGGTGGATGTCTACTCTTCCTCCATGATCTTCATGTCAAATGCTTAATGACATATTCAATGACATATTTCATTCACTTTTCATGCCTATATAAATGCCTTGTAATAAATAGAAAAATACACACAATTGAAGAAGAAAATCTCTTCCTTCTCTCTATCTCTATTTCTTATTCATGTTTTACTTGCTTTTATTTCTTGTTCATATTTTACTAAATTACTTTTATTTCATAACAGTCATGAAATTTTATACTCTTTTACTGATAGCAAAAGAATATACTTTTTCCTATTTGTGTTAGCTCTCGGAAGAAGACATTATAAATAAATTATTTAGGCTTCTCCTCTCTTTCCCTTTCTTCGTGAAAGTGCAGTTGACATTATAAATAAATTATTTAGGCTTCTCCTCTCTTTCCCTTTCTTCGTGAAAGTGCAGTTGACATTATAAATAAATTATTTAGGCTTCTCCTCTCTTTCCCTTTCTTCGTGAAAGTGCAGTTGACATTATAAATAAATTATTTAGGCTTCTCCTCTCTTTCCCTTTCTTCGTGAAAGTGCAGTTGCTTATGTCTTCACACTTTTCCTTTCTCTTATCTAAACATTAACAACCTTATCCTTAGCACTCACTTCACTTCTTACCTAGTTTTCCTCATGATACAAATAAACAAGTTATACATACATAAATATCCATAATTATTTAAGTATTTTTCTTGTGGCCTAATCCACTAAATTGATCTCAAATAGGGAAAATAGGAAGATTATATAGAGAACTAATCTGTGTCAAAGTCTTCGGTCTACATAACGTCTCCTTTTGTTTGCTTTAACTTAGAAAAATGGGGCATAATACCTTATTTTTCTCTACCGCTCTTTATTTACTTTTGGCCTTCCCGAACTTTAAATTTTTCTAATATTTGTTGTCTAGAATAATGCTAGATATTTTGTAGATACAAGATTAATGTGTCTATATTTTTATAAGTTTGGTAACACGTATAAGACCAATTTTAAAATGATTTAAACTTACGAAAAAATGATATTACATTGTGCATTTTTGTAATTTAGACGAAGTGTATTTTTTCACTATCATTCTAAAATATATCTTTCTGTCATTTTGAGATGTAAGTTATAGTACTCTTTTTGTTGTTTCTTGATAAATATTTTTAACTTAAAAAAATTATCTTGTTATTTTAGCTCTAAAATGATACTCCATTGACTAATGACCATTGACAATAAGCAAAAAATGACAATTAAATTAGCTTAAGGGGTAAGAATTTTCAATTGACTTAACTCTGTAGTTGTCTTCCTAATTTAGTAATTTAAATTATTAATTGCTTAATTTAGACAATTGTTTCCTTCTCAAGACACTCGGCTATAGTTGCGGGATATGCTATTAGTGTCTCTATGTTCCAAATAAAAATAAAAATACAATCATTTATATAAGGGAAAATTTCACATTAGAACAACTGAGCTTCATACTTTTCAATTTTATAGCCCATATTTCAATTTACAACCAACTAGCCCAAAAATAATAAGCTAAGATTCAACATCCAACTCAAATATGTTCTCAAAATTACTATTTAATTTTTAAAAAAGATTCCTCAAGCTTTTAAATTAATTTTCGAATCAGTAACTGTGACTCAAATATTAATTCAACAAAACCAAATTCATTTGGATGGAGAAAATTAGATTTTTAACAAGCTTAAATATGTGGGTTTAAATTTCGAATTTGATTTTGTGAGAAATTTGGAGTGAGTGTTTTTTAGACTTGTTAGAAATAGTATAAGGAGGTTGTATATAAATTTTGAAGTCATTTAATGGAGATTTGGACTGGTTTTGAACGAGAATTACAACTGAAAATCGTGGAAGAAGTTCGTCTACAGACGCTTGTATAAATGTGTATAAGATGTGTTTCTACACTCATATACACTATTATACAAGATTATACATAATTATACAAAAAACTAACTCCGTCTTCTTCCTTGCGTCTTTTTTGAAATTTAACTCAAATCTTGCTCAAATCTCCTCCAAATCACTTCAAATTTAAATTTTGAACTTCTTTTGATATTTTCAATCAATTGGAACAACACCCAATCCAAACAACTAACAAATTCAAAAAAGTCCATTTTCAAAAGCAAAACTTTGAAGGGTCTTCAATGGTGGACTGTTACTCTTCAATTTTCTTACATTGCAAGCACGTGACACAAGAGGAGAAACAGAAAATACACGACCCTTGAAGCATATGTAAAAAATGTGAGAAGAAGAGAGAGTGAAAGCAATGGTTGTGAGAACAAAGAATTAACTCCATAACTTTTAGAAGCAATGGTTGTAAGAACACAGATTTTGAATTTGTAAGTGCTTTCAAAATATGTACAATGTAGGCCAGGTGAGGTAAAATAATTTAAAAACATGGGTATTTTTTACTATGGCGTAAAGTCATGTTTTTTCTTGTAAATACAATCATTTGTTGTGGTTGCCTTGTATAGATTCCATTAACAAATAAAAATAATTTCTTTAAAAATAAAAAATATTGGGTTATCCCCTTTCTTTCTTTTTTGGCTTTTCATAGTCATCAGCACTATAAATAAGGAACAAGAAAAGGGAGAGAAATACCATTGAATTATTACATAGAGCATAGCACACTAATACCATGGATCTTGGAATTTTTTCTAGGAGCGTCAGCTTCCACTTTTGTTGCTTCCATTCATCTGTGTCAGCTCCTTTTGTCTGTTGAGAGTTCAGTTTCACTACCCAAAATGAACTCAATACAATTCCTATATTCATTCTTTTTTCTGATTTAATTCTTGGACAAGAAATTGATCAACTTTTTCAGCTCACCTCTTAGTTTTCTTGGCTATTTCTGCAATTCTATGATGGTCAGCAGTGTTATGAAAGTATCATCTTCAGTAGCTATGGTTTCTTTAGACATTTGCAGCTGGTAATTTTTTTTCTACTTTTAAATTCAAGAATTGAATTGGGTTTCGTTGAATTTTTTTGTTCTTGTTTTGATTTATCAAGAAAAATGCTACTCCCTCTGTTCTGTCCCAATTTATGTGATAATGATTAATTGAACACGAAATTAAAAAAGAAGCTTTTGAAACCTATGGTGTAAAATATTTCATAGATATTTTGTGGGTATTTACTAAGCATAAAATAGGATAAAGTTATACAACAATAACAATAAACCAATGTAATCTCACAAGTGCGGTATTGTGTAGGCACACTTTATCCATATCTTGAAGGTCGAGGTGCTTTTTTTGATAGACCCTCGGCATAAAATGGGATAAAGTTATATTGTTCGTAAATATAGAAATGTATTTTTCATTAGTGTGGTGCTTATGCTTTCCTGAGCCGAGGGTCTATTGGAAATAAACTCTCTACCTTCACAAGGTAGGGGTAAGATCTGGGTACACACTACCCTCCCCAAATCACACGGTGTGGGATAATACAAATATGTTGTTGTTGTTGTAAATATATAAAGGTGTTATTCTTTTCGGGGCAGACTAAAATAGGAAAAGTATTACATAAATTGGAACAGATGGAGTAGTTTTCATTTTTTCTTTTCCTTATTGCTTTCATTAGAAGGGTGTTTGATGGGCTGTAATATTTATTCTACTTTGTGTTATGTAAAGTTATTTGTGGATTGGAGAAGCATTTGTGCTAGTACTAGGCAAAAATTCCCAAACCCTTTATTCTCTACGATCATCAGGTGTAGTTTTGATGGTCGTGTTGGATGTTGGATTGGGAATGAGGAAGGAAAATGGAACAAATTGGCTGCTCCAAGAAGTACAAAGGCAGCTAACATAAAGAAGTTGAGGATTTCACCCTTGGCTTCCTCTGCTCTAGCCGAAACCCGAGGGTCGTCTAAAGCCAAAGTCTATAAGGAGGTTGGGACTACATTAGTTTCTTGTGATATGCTACTTTATAAATCTATTCTTGTTGTTAAAATGGTAATTTGATACATTGAGTACATCTGAATCCAGTCATTTTCTTTTGTTTAATCTGTTAATGCCATTAAAATATACTCTTCCTCTGTTTCATTTTATGTGGCGGTGTTTGACTAGACATGGCGTTTAAGAAAGAAATGAAAACTTTTATAACTTGTACTTTTAACATGCCATGACATTTATGTGGCTAAAAGATAATCTCATTTGATGTTAAATTGTTTCCGAATGTAGAAAAGTATTGTTCTTTTTGGAAATTGACAAAAAAAGAAACAATGCTGCATAAAATGGAACAGATGGAGTATATGAATGGGTCTATCGTTGCTGTCTATTGGACTATCGTGGTATAAATTTAGAGAATTGACTGAAGTTTCATGATTTGGCAGGTACTAAAAGATGCCAGGGAAAAGTTTACACAGGAGATATCATTTCAGTCTAAGGATAAAGATATTTCCCTTGCAAAGGTAGTTATTCGTCTTGTCAAGCTCTTTTTGTTCAGTGCAGTTTATTCATTGATTTTGATAGTAAACAATTTCTTGGTTTCAAGAAACAGAAATGAATAGAGTTCACTTTGCAGTTCTTTATTTGAAATATTCTGCTTATAAATAGTTTCCAACTTTTGTGTGTGGATGGCGAGAAGCCGAGAATCATCATAAGAGATAAATCATCTTTTTGCAAGCAAATTGCTTCTTTCATTTGCTTTTTACTTGTATTATCTGCATTCTTAATTTGTCTGTCTGTCGTTTTCTTTTATCCCGGGTAGGCTTTGCTCTATGTTGCTTCTGAAGACGAGGCATTTATGGCTTTCAACCGAGAAATCGACGCTTATTCACTCCAAAATGAAAGGAGATCTGCTTCGTTGCCGTCTGAGACACCGGACTGGAAATGCGTGGAATCCATGCCTCTGTCTGGAAAGACTATGAGCGAGTGGATGGCGGAGTTGGATTCCATTGCAAGGGAAGTTGAGGCAGAGCTAGTTCCGAGAGATATAGGATGCGATTTGGCTGAAGTTTTGGATGCAGTGAACGTAGTTCTTTTTAAGTCAAGGGGTTTCAAAAGGTCATCTGTGACAGTGGATTCGAAATGTTCATACCTGCATTCAGTATTAAGCTCTGGATATTGTAGTGGTATATTTTAAATTTTCCTCGCCAATATCATCATTAATCTGCATATTTCTTAACCCTGAAAGTTCACAATTCTTCTCGAGTTCTTGATGTTTATTAATGCAGTCTGACATGCTGCTTTACTTCTGTACAGCAATTTTGCTTAGTGTCATTTATATCGAAGTTTGTCGAAGACTTAATCTGACCATGGTGGGATCTAGAATTGGGGAAGATTTCTTGATATGGCCTCAAACTGGAAACCACGAGGTATGTTGGTCTGAACCAATGGATGTTGTCGATCTTTTCTTTGGCATGTCCATCCACTAGTTTTTATACATTGATGATCTCGAGTCTCATTGAGTTGATATATCTACATTTTGAAACTGTTGTAGGAGCTATTCAAGGTTAATTCTGGTCACAGCTTGTTTGGTATTGTTAATGGGAAGTGTGTCAATGACCCTAGATCAAAGGCATCAGACATCGATAGCGATTCACTGTCAGGGCTTGAGATTGCAACAAACCGAGATATTATCGGAATTGCTTTGGCAAATCTTGTGGTGAGTTTTATTCTTCTAAAAGGTAGAGTCTGTTGGACCTTTTAATTTTCATAAATCTCATGGTATTATTTATGAGTATCATTGATAACTTTGGCAAAATAATTGATCAATAATCAAATTTATTTTGCAGAGGCTTCACTGGAAACGCGCTTCAAGAGCAAATCATGGTTTGATGCTGACTTCTCCACTTAGGTCTGTGGATAACTCTGATGAAAAGTTTAAGAAGGCGGATGCATCAAGTGTACCTTTGCTGCGGCCTCAAGATTTAAGGTAAAAATCATATGTTCTATTTTGTCTTTGTTACTAGCACCGGTTCTTTTTCCTGATTAAGCAGGCCGACTTTGTATTCCTACAGGTTCATGATGCTAATTTGCAACCTTGGCATGAGAAAGGGAGAATTGTGAATTTTGGCGACATTATTGTATCAACTGTCTAATTCTAACTTTCTACAAAAAAACAACCACTTGATCTACTATTGCTGCAATATTGCATGGTTTTAATTCCTTCATCTGGTTTTTTAGTTCCTCAAGCATAATAGGTTCCCGGAATCTATAGCTCCATTTTGGTTTGAGAAAGTCCGTTCCATATCTAAACTACACAGTGGTCTAGCTGATAATGTCTAACTTGCGATGAAGTTTTCATGTCCATTTACGCGTCATGGTATTGGCGGAGTTGGTTATCAATCGAACAGGGGATTCTTTGCATTTGACTATCATCATTTCTGGTGCATTAAGTTTTATCCAAAGTGCAGAAACATGCGAGAGAACAGCGCTAATAGATTCATTTATTATTGAACTGTTCTCAGGTCGCTATATTATATAGCTTTTATAAGACCCCTTAATTATCTTTTATACAATCTCAGGTGTTCTTTTTACTAGTTTGGCGCAGCTAAGAAACGCCTTTTCTCTAATTATCATGACGAATGTTCTGACCTTAGCTCTAGGGAATTAGTTTGTGTTGTAATATCGATCTCACGTGTAATGACATTATATCTGGGATGGTACCAACTTTTTAGGCTGGCTATTATGGCGTCGCAAAGATTGCTGATTCTGCAGCCGCACAATTGGGCTCTGAGGAGAGACCACGGCATGATGTTGTACTATAGCAGGTAAACAATGACACTCAATTTTAAATGTTTCTATTCTTTTCCTCATTTCCTGGAACTTTACATAGTACTATCCACAATTGACATATGAACAAATATCAGGGAATACGAGGAGGCGGTACAGGAACTTAGCATTTGCATGGCCTTTGCCCCAGAAGAAGAGGCTGAAGTTCTAGAGGCATTTGTTGAGAAATTACACTTATTGCGAGTTGAATCGTCGTGGAAGTCTCTGGGACGTAAAGGTCGGTTAACAGTTACTTGACTCTTGTTTGTACAAAAGCTGAGCTCTTTCTCACTTGTTGAGCCATTACAGAACTTTGTATAAGAAGACAGCCTATAGAATTTTATAGCTGTAACCTCTTTTTTTGACTTCTGTAAATATTTCATTGAGCCAAAGCTTCATATGCCGAGCTTCAATTAGGAGATGAATGATATAACTTGAACAGCTCCTGGCAATGATACTAATTCTCATAGTATGATACTGTTGGAAGGTAAGTTTTCTTCTATAGCCTACTGGTGCTCATTTGTTTGTCATGCCAAAGGGATGCTATAATTTTTTGAACTTTTAACACATTTGACCGGTCGAAGGCGAGCCTTAGAGCAACGATAAAATTTTCTCTGTGTGACCTATAGATCACGGGTTCGAGCTGTGAAAGCAGCCACTAATGTTTGCATTAGGGTAGACTGTCAACATTACAGCCTTTGGGATGCGGTCCTTCCCCGGACCCTGCGTGAATAGGGGATACTTTGTGTAAGGAGTTGCATTTTGACCGGTCGGCCAAAAATAATTATCGCTATTAGCCGAATATACAAAAAAACAGCATTATGTATAAAATATATTCATTATTGGTCCTTCCTTGGACCCTGCGTAAATACAGGATGCTTTGTGTACTGAGCTGCATTTTGACTGGTCGGCCAAAAAGAATTTCCGGTGCTAGCCAAATATACAAAAAGATACACTAATTATGTATAAAATATGTTCATTATTTATATATATTATATGTTAATATACAAAAAATATACATATACCGGCTATTATTTTGGCAGGGCGGCTATGCTGTGTAAAAATCACTATACTAATTGGAGGATATAGAAAGAAAATGTAGACCATAATTTGCTGCGTAAGTAAGCTGGTAAGCTGATTGTAGCTTTGCTTATCTAAGCTATAAGTTGATAAGCTTCTTAATTAAGCTCTACCAAGAATCAGAGATTAGAGTAATCTACTACTAATAAATTAGCAGATAAATTAAATATGATATAGATACCATTATATATTGTCATAATTCTCTCATAAGTTATTATATCAGTCATTCTCCTTGACAACTGTTATTCTCTAGAAAGCAGGCACAGAATCATTCAGATTGTGCTTGAACTAATGGGTTAGGTACTGGGTAGATAACTTAATAGATGTGGACATGAAAGCCATTATTAGTTGGAGTTTGTAGATAAGATTGACAAGCCTGCGGCTTCCCT